CTTATTAATATATTTGTAATATTTGACAAAAGTATTATAGGAAAGTAGAAACACCTAATATTTAATATAATTGAATGGTTAGATATAAAAAAAAGGGGTAAAAACTATTACTATTTCGATTAATGATATACAAAACGAGAATGACCTTTTAAAATCGTAATCGATGCGCGCGTTACTATCGCTTATGTCGATGAACCTTCTAATCTAAAAATGCAATGATACCTTGATCACTATCCAACATAAATTTTCACTACAACGAACATACGTTTAATTTTCGTACAACAATAATAATAATAATAATAATAATAATAATAATACAAGTTACTTGCGCTCGCGCGCACGCGCATCATATCGTGCATGTATATATGATACACACAATCGTGTTATATATAATATTATTTTGTTATTAAAATACATACGTGTGGGTGTGTATGATATATATGTATTATGAGAGTATTTAACACTGGCCAACGTCAACGATATTTCACAATTCGTAATTTTCCTTCACAATTACTTATATACGGTTTTTTATATATATATATATTTTTTAATAACATGATTTTTTTATTTTTTAAAATTCCCGCCATCCTTTAAATAAGAATAAAAAATAAAGTAGACAAGTTTGTATTATTTGTAAAATTTGTATTACATAAATGCAAATATAATCTTTGAATTTGTTTTGTCTATTGTTTTTTTTTTAAATAATTATTATTATTATTCTGTTTTTTTCTATAGAGAACCAACATTATGTCTTGGTACGGAACAAGTGAGGATTTTATTGTTTCAAGAATGCGAATGGCGAGGAAGGAGAGTACTTTTCGATTCTCTCAAATTGGAGAATCGTCGTACCAAAAATGCAACCTCTACTACTGGCACGGTAAAATAAATAATAAATAATAAAAATATAATATAAGAAAAAAACAATTTGAAATTTATAAACTTATATGAAGAAGAAGAAGAAGAAAATTATCAAATCATTCGAATTACGTCTCGCATTACATTTTGAAACTTTCGAAATACACCTGCATTTTTGTTTGTTTGTTTTGCTTAATAAACATAAATAACGTTAATTATGGAATAAAAGTTTACTAAAAGAATCCCTGATTTTGTTTAAAGAGACACGTGATATAAATTTAGTATTAAATAAATATTTTCTATTCAAAATTTGTTTCACATACTTTTAACATAAATTTAACATCGATAGATATTCAAGTTATACGAGAATAAAAAAGAAAATAATTAAAAAAACAAAATAATTGAAATATCAATCGTGTTAGGATATATAATCATTATATAATATAATTGTTATATATTAAATAAAAAATAATTAATAATATATTTTTAAATATTTCAAATAATACTTATTAAACATACGTACATAATTTATATAGCAAAAACTCTCTGGTAACAATAGAAAATAACATGATTCATATATACAGTTTTATTGAGAAAGAGGAAAAGAGAGAATGTAAATTTTTTTACAAACGAATATATCTGAAGAAGAATAAGAATAAGAAGAAGAAGAATAAGAGAAACACACACTCGCACACTTCTAAGATTTCCGTCTCCTTGGCCTTTTGCCACAAACACAAATGCGACAGGTTTTAACAACAACACATGCATATATAAATACATACGATTGCGATCACGTTATTCGCAAGAGTAACATTGAAAAAAGCTTCGTTTAGAATCAAATGTGTGTTGGTTGTTCTCGTTCATTGATAGAATTTAAATATGTTCATAAAAATGATGATAACTTTTCTTTCTATTTATTTTTTTTTGTGATTTATATATATATATATATTAGTTATATAATTATGTACCGATAATTATGACAATAATATTCATTGAGTCATATATATATATTGTATTAATTTATTTTAATATTTTATTATATTTTAGATTATATTATTATTATTTTTTTTAAATTAATTATATATATTATTTAATATTTATTTTAATCTACTGTATATATATAATATTATCAGTACATATATAAATATATAAATTTAAATATATAAAATAAAAATTTTAATATAATTAATATATATATATATATATGTATATATGTGTATGTGTGTGTGTATTAACGAATTAAAATTTTGTTCTCGTATAACGTCAAAGTACTGGAATAATCATCTTTTTATCAAATGGCCTTTTGTTATTATTCTTTCATTATCTTTCATTCTTTTTTCTCTCTTTCGTATTCCCCGATCTCGAACTTCTTAACATTTTTTATCAACGCAGATATAAACGATGACCAATAAAAAGTATTCTCGATTACTATTACTACTACTATCGCGAAAAATACCAAATTATATCATTACATTTATTTTTCATATTTGTATTATTCCTTTTTTTGTTTTTTTTTTTAGAAAGAAAAAACAGCCGAGGATACTACGAGTTCGTTGAGTGAAATGGTTTTTGGTACGGTCGCGATGACTTATAAAGGATCATCATTTAAGGTATCTTTTTAAAAAAATAAAACAAGAAAAAAACAAACAAGAACAAAATATCACAATTAATATAATTTTCGGTTTGAATCGCGAACAATTTTTAATCTCTCAAGTCAACTCGCATGTTAAACACAATTAACTTAATTATCTATCAAAAAAAAAATTTACAATTTAATTATCAAACCATTTGAGAATCTATATATATATATTTTCAATTATTTTTAATATATAAAATAAATTTATTTATCACATTAAATCTTAACAATATTAAAAAAATAACAACAAAATTTCTTTATAAATTCGAATAATGAATGAATATTAAACAATATATTTAACTATCAATCTTTTATTATTATTATTAATATTATTATTTGATTGTTTTAAAGGTACATTCGATGAAATCACCAGCATGCATCATTTGTACTAAAGTATTCCCTGTTACTGAACACAACGGACCTAAGCAAAAGTAAGGACAAGTTTTGCTTTAATAACGGTGCGATCATCCTATTTTATTAATAGTTTACAATGCCGAACTGACATAACGTTCATTTACGTGCAGTGAAAGGTTCTCGGATGGTACACTAACGCGTTGTTCAACACACGTGGATTCTAATACAAGTAATAGCAGTATAAAAACATCTAGTGAGTATATAATATAAAATAACTTATATAAAATAGAAAATTCAATAATAATAATACACGTTATGCAAACAAACATTTTGCAGTATCACGTCCAAGTTCTGGTAATGTATCATCGTCTAATGATTTGTTACCGGATCCGAGAAAAAATTCATCATGTTCTAGTAACGGTAGCATTTGGGACATGGAAACTCAATTGCATATGGGAAGTAAGTTTGTATATACCATTTCACATATATATATATATATAGTTTTTAAATTCATTATATTAAATGTTAATATAATAAAGATTTTCTTTTTTTCTTATCCAAAATTTTTTTAATATTATTACTAAGTTTAATTCTAACTACTACTACAGTAGTGTTCGAAAAGTTATAGTAGAATAACGTTTTTTTTAAAAATTGACTCTATTTATAAGATAGTGAAAACTTATGACTGTAATAAAAATGATGTTATATTGACTTATGAACATAACTATCAAGTTGCTGAGGAAGTCTCAAATARARAYGAAACGTTMAACGGATAAATGTATTGTTCATCTAAATTAAACCTGTCCAAAAAATAACTTCCCTAAGAATTAAACTTAATAATTATATTAAATATTATTATATTTATTTGTATCTCATATTAATTATTCATTTGATTATGATATTATTTTAGGTTCTCAATCGTTAGAGAGCAGTGGATCTTCCGGTGTAGGAAGTAGTTTATCAAGTTTACGTCGTAAATGGTTAAGAGCAGTTTCAACTTCATTGAGTCGAGCTGATTCCGATGATATATTTGGTATACAACAATATGGTGAAAATAACAGCGAGGGTGGTGACAAACATTATAGAAGTAGGCTTGGATTAATGATGTTAGTTCGTTTAACGCAAGGACAAGAAAGGTATTTTTTATTTCATTTCAATTTCAATTTCCATGCTGAAATTGTACACGAAATTAATTACGTGTATATATATATATATATATAGATTTGTTTAATAATTATTTATTACAGGAGAATAGAAACAAGATTGTTAGAACATATGACACTGTTGGAAGGCATGTTGGATCGTTTAAGATATTTTTGTATCGAACGTAACGGTTTAAAAACTAAAACAATTAATCGGAAAACAATTGATCCTGCGGATAGGATGTATCGCGCCTCATATCGTTTTATTATTTCCCTATTAAGATTATTAATTAATCCGAATTATTTTCGACCACCTTTATTGTGGCACGACGTTTTACTTAATTCTGTGATAAATTTGGAAATGAATTCCAATATATTGCACCGTGGTTTACAACAGATGTGCCAATTGTTGGACGACGTTGATACCAAATCGACGAATTTGTGAGTACCTTTTTTTTATTTTTAAATAATAATAATAATAATAATACTATTAACTTTTTTATACAAATACTAATAATTTTCTTTTGTTTATTACATTTGTTGCATACGTTTTGTTTTTTAGTTTTTTGAGTACTGTCGTGACTGCGGTGTTGATGTATCATCTTGGTTGGGTTTACACAATACTTCCTGCAAACGATCGACAAATGGTAATTAATTAATATTTAAATGATATTATTATTAACAATAATTAAGCTGGTTTTATTTTTTTTCTAATTCTATAAGTTCATTATTATATTCTATATTAATAAATTAATAAATTCTTGGGGGGGGTAATACTTTTTAAGATATAAATACATTCATTTTTATGAATTAATACGATTGTTTAAAAAAAAAGAAATATACATTTATGCATTAACATTAAATAACATTAAATAACATAAACCTATTTTTTATAAAACAAACAAAAAATATTACACATCGCATATAAGTTTCGTTATTAATAATATAAAAATAAATCATATCCCGTTTAACAAAAAACTAATCTCAATGATACATTTATACTCTTGAAAAAAAAAAAAAGAAGAAAACAATAATCAATTTAACAACTACTGACGTTATTTATTTGTTGATTTGTCATCAGATGGAAAATTTGGGTAGATGGTATCCGTGTAATCCATTATGGGCACAATTAGGTGATTTATATGGTGCTATGGGTAATCCAATAAAAGTAACACACACCCTCGTAGTCGGTGATTCACGTAAGACCGATTTAATAAATTCGGTATTATATTTTCTATCATATTTCATCCGTAGTGGAATAGTTCAGAAACAACGTGAATATCGTTGTTCCATTGAAAACGATATCAAAGAAGCTACCAATATTTTGGAACAAATGCAAATAAAACGGCCGTATTTGTTCGATTATACTAAACCAAGAAATCATTTATCAAACGATAATAGTCATCGAAATATTAAGATGACTATGATTAAACGAGAATCGCGAGTGCCAATAGGTAATAAACAAACGGAAACGTTCAATGAAATGCAAGTTCGTGTTAACGATAGTGCAACGATAAGTGAACAATTAAATGATAACGAATCATTTGTCAGATCAGAATGCAACATCGATGAACAATTTAGGCCAAATGAAACTTCGATACGTTCGTTAAAACGTAGTACAACTATGAAAGTTTCATTAGATCGTTATATGTTGAAAATGGATGACGAACCACCATTAGTTGCCAAATCAACACCAATATCTAAATCTTTATCAATGATACAGGATGAAAGAAGAATCAATGACGACGAGGAAGTAATAGTTAAATCAAATATGACTAACGTTAATCAAAATTATACTAAAACCAAAGTGAAAATAATTGTCGACGAGATAGATTCGGATACGATTGAAGATGAATCGTCAAGTAACGTTGAAAATCAAAGACAATTTGGTATAGAAAATGTAACAAAAATATATAAACATGATGAAATTAATGATAATACAAATGTATCGTCTAAACGAGTATCTTCAGAAATAGAAGAAGAAGAAGAAGAAGAAGAAGAAGAAGAAGAGGAAGAAGAAGAATGTAAAAGTAAGAACGATGATGGTGGTACCAATAACAACGACAAATCGTATATTCATCAAACAGAGTTTCTTAGATTAAATGATAATAATTTTATCGAAGAAAATAATAAACGTCAAGAACAGCAGCAACAACAACAGCAACAACAGCAGCAGGTATATTTTACGTTAGGTTGCGAGGACAAACCTAACAAATATTTGTCACGTCCAAGACTCGGTTACAATTGTCAATGTTCATACATGTTTACCACATTGCCAAGTACATCGGCACAATTACCGGAAGGTGTATTGAGAAAAATAATACAAAGAAATTTTCCTGAATCTTCGAAAAGTATGCAACCATCTTCTGGTACCACCACCACCATGTCGTCGAATATGGAATCTAATAATATGGAATCTAAATCAACGCGTATTTGTCCTAGATGTCATAATCAAAGTAATCCATCGTCTCAAACATATAAGGGTATGAAAGAATTATTGGAAACACCTACGAATGCTACCGAAGTATTACGAACTTGCGTTAATTCTGATAGAACAGTTGGTATGTCTCGTTCTAATAGTTTAGAAGCATTGATGGAAGCCAACAGTGTAATAGAATTACCTATGCCACGGTGAGTAAACTTTCATGGATCATAAATAACTTCAAAATATTTTCATTCAAATATAACTCGGTTAAATGGAAAAGCCTAATATAATAATTCATTCATATTTATTTAATACTTTATAAATATCTAACAAAATTATTATAAATTGTTCTCTCTTTCTTTCTTTATTTCCTATTTTTTTGTTTGTTTTTTGTTCATTTTTCTAGATCTAAACTAGTCTCTTCCAAACAAGTTAATAATTCTAACGACGAGACTGGATTTACTAAAACACTTTTACAAACTAAAGTACCAAATACAAGACAAACTAACAACGGTACTTGGTCTACCAAATACACGTGGGGTTTGGTTATACAAGGTTTAATAAAGAAAGATAAAAAAAGACGAAAACGGAAGGATAAAACGGATGAACAAGAGCAACAAGAACAAATGATCGAATCGGATAAAGAAGATGATTGGTGGTGCTGCGTACGAGAAGAGGTTGCAGCAGGTGTACGTTTTCCTACGATTGACGAACCAGTATCCGAAGCTGTTTGTATTTTAGCAGATTTGGATACATGGCACGTTGGAATTTTATCAAATAACATGCCATCGGAAGGGCCACCTTTACCTGTTGGCATGTCACGTTTAGTTGCCAATATGTTGGAAGCATTTGCTTATGTTTGGCGCAAATATCATTCTCCATTGCACGTAAGATAATAATTTGAAAAAATTCATTTTCAATTCGATTATATTTTTGTTTGATATACACAAGGTATATCCCAAAGAATTATTTTATTCAGTATAAAGAAAAATCAATTGAAAAAATATTCATTTCTCTTAATATATGTATATAAATACAATGAACAAATATATCGATATAAATATTTCATTTATATGATAAATAGAATCTAATTAAATAATAATTAAAAAGAACACATCGAATTTTATATCAATATCGTGTTAATAAAATTACAATATTTTCTATTACATTTTATAATATAATATGAATATTCAATTGCAGTTATGTTAAACAAAAAATCAGCTAAACAAAAATATAAATAAATGTAAATTTGACAATTGAATAAAACAACTTTGGTGCAACCCTGTGTATACCATATTTAAATGATATAAAAACGCATTAATAACAAAAAATACTTATCAATAAAAAAAAAATGTTTGATAAATAAATTAATACAAAGATTTATTTTACAGTGTGTCGATATATTGGAATCAAAATTAAGAGAAATGTGGTTAAGAAGTGAGGCACTTGCACAAATGTTGATGACAGCGGATGTATGCGACGTTAGTGTAGCAACATTAACCAACGCTCTTGATCTCGATGCAGCTGATATTCCACTTTTATTAGCAGTAGCTACAACTCATTCACCGGAAATTGCGCAACGATTTGGTCTCACGCTCGCTTAAATAATAAACGACTGGTCCCTCCCCCGCACCTGCCCTCCCGGTTGTGTCCCATTTTTTCTTGCATACTAAAACGTGTCATTATATTGTACTTTTGTACTCACGTGACAAAGAAAGTTAGATAAAATCGTTTGATTTTATACAACAGTAGAATAGTGCAACAACAACAACAACAACGAACCTCTCTCTTCGTAAGAAGATTTTATTTTTATTTATTATTTCATTGCAAAAAGATAATTGTTGGTGTTTGTTGCTGTTGCTATTAATGATCCACACGATTTTATCCTATTTTTTTTTGTTTTCTTTTTATTTAACGGAGTTTTGTTTTAACACGTAATCATTTTATTTTATTTTATTTAATTTTATTTTTTATTTCTTCTATCTCTTTCTTTCTCTCGTTAACAACACGATATTCCGAAAGACATCGTGTTGATTAAACGTCACGCTCGTCAAAGTGTGATTTATATTTCTTTCCTTTTTTTTTTTTTTCTTCTCTGTTAAACGAAACGCGAATATATATAATAATAATATTATTATTATTATTGTTATTATTATTTAATTTAAAAATTTTGTCTTATGTTTAAT